TTTAACAGTTAAAAAATAGAATATAATCTTTGGTATTATACACGTTAATACTTGAACTTAATTTAAAAAAATACTTTGTTCATTTATTTGTACCAGTTTATTTTTATGACTTATTTAAATATAAAAGCACACTAATAGGGACAGGTACACTAATAGGGACACTTACCCTAGTTGGAAGGCGTCCTCTCTACTTCTGTGAGCACTCTGCCTGGGCCTTCATTCTATAATCCTTTTGGTTCATCTATCATCGGTTATTCTTGCGACATGACCAGCACAATTCCATTTTAGGATTGCTATTCTTTCTATAGCATCTGATACCTTAGTTCTCCTATGGATTTCTGTGTTTGGGACCTTTTGTCTCTGAGGGATAGTCTCAGCATTGGTCGCTCCATTGCTGCGTGACTCTTATTTTATCAATCGTTTTTTAAAATCAACGTTAATGTTTCCGCGCCATACATAAGAACATCAGGCAAGACTCACTGGTTGAAGATTTTTCTCTTTAGGCACATTGGGAGTTCTGATTTTAATATGTACCTTAGTTTTCCGAAGGAAAACGAAGTCCATGTCAGTCTTATTCTTCGTGAGAGTTCGCATGTTTGGTTGCCTCTACTTCGTGGCTTAGGTATTTGTAAGATGTCACTTGCTCTATATAACTTCCGTCAATGCTTATATTTTTGCTGAGAACGAGGTTTCTCGTTAGTTTGATCTGTTGGATGTTAATTTTTAAGCCTACTTTTCGATAGGCTTCATTTAGTTTCTCCAGCATTTATTTGGCGTTCTCGATATGTTCAGAGATTAGAATTATGTCATTCGCGAATTTTAAATAATTGAGCATTTTACTGTTTATATTTATGCCAAGAGTGTCCCAGTTTATACGTATGCACATGTATTCTAACAGGATTGTAAATATTTTTGGTATCGCCCTGGCAAACACGCATTTCTATACGGAATTTATCGGTGTCTTTATATGAAGTCTGACACTTGCTGTGGCATTCTCGTACATATATTTGATTATAGCAATGTAGCGGTGGTCTATTCTGCAGTCTGCTAATGCTTCCAGCATCGTTGGTTTATCGTGTCAAACGCTTTTTCCATGAATACTAGGACCAAAGATTTGTACTCTGTTGATTTTTCTATTAGACTTTTAAGGGTCTAGAGGTAATTATTTGTGTTGTATCCTGGGTCTGAATACCACCTGTTCCCTTGGTTGATAGAGGTTCAATTTTGTCGTTAATCTATTAGTGATGATTCTTGTGAAGAGTTTGTATATGTGCGATAGTAAGCTGATCATAGGTCGGTAGTTTCCAAGCTTTGTGATGTCTCCTTTTTTATGTATATGATGATTGCGTTACTCCAAATCTACTATAATAAAAACACATTTTTGCACATTTGCTTTCTGACTTGATGTAGAGTCGCATGTATATATGCACGTCAATATTCACAAAAAATGTAGTTTTATTAATAGCGATAAATAGTATGTAACATATATTAGCTCAAATAACGTAATCTTTATTTTTGTAATAATAACGTATAAATAAGTTATCTTATAGAAACCATCTTTAAGATATATTAAAATTTTCAGATTTTCTGGAGGTTTTAGTAAATATACTTCAAGATTATCCATCTCTTTGTCAAGTTTGGATAGGCAGCAAGCTTTTAATTCTTATATCCTCACCAGATATAGCAAAAGTAATGAAAGAAAGCTCTTTTGTCTAATATAATTAATATTTGTACTAAAATTTAATAAGTATCTACTTTAGACTACTTATACAAATTATATACATATATATCTACATATATATCCCAAGTAACGTATGTTAGTTCGCTGTATGCTATATGTTTTCTAAATGTATCTAATGTTTTATAACCGTTCACAAAATGACTATAAAAGCAACATGTATTATTTTGGATATAAGCATATAAAATTAAAATTTTAATATTTTAATTTATGTTAATTAATTATAAATTAGTTTTACAAATGGTAAAATTTGTGTTAGTTACATAGAACAAAAGTACGCATAACATTAATATGCAATAAAGAAATAACTATTATATTTATATATATATTTATATTTATATTTTTAGTGTTTTATAATGTTTTATAATAAATAATATATTTATATATATATTTATATTTATATTTATAGTGTTTTATAATGTTGTAGCTTGTCTTAAACAGCAAAAATTGTGTGGATAAAGCTAGTCTTTATAAACTCGTATCTCCATTGTTTGGAATGGGATTACTTACTGCTCCTGGTAAGATATACACAAGAGATAAAACACTAAACAAATTGCAAGTTTGAAACTATGTAATTACTTTCAATGTTAGTTATTTAAAAGTAATTAAATTATATCTGTACCATTTTTCATAATCATTTAAATACATCTCGTGCTCCATTTATAATATATTTATAATATAAAAAGTTTATTATAAATAATAATAGATATTAAAATATTTACTTTTATATTATATATTTATTTATATTATTTATGATTTTAAAAAGATACTATTTAATAATACTATTAATATTCCTAATATTAATCCAATTTTAAAATTATGATACTATGTATTATATTTTTTTATATAATCCTCTATTATAATTATTTCAGAATCCGTATGGAATCGAATAAGAACAATGACTGCACCAACATTTAGTTCACATATGCTGCAACGTTTCTTTAATACGTTTGTTGAACAATCTGTAGCGCTTACAGATGAATTAGAAAAAGTTGGGTTAAATGAAAACGAAATTCTCTACGGAGATCATATAGCAACTTGTACTTTGAGAATTGCATGTGGTAAGATTATATAATTAAATATATTTGTAAATGTTTACGCGTTTTCGATTTTTCGCGAACTTTTGACGTATGCGCGATCACTAACGAAAATCAAAATTATATTTGGAAAAACTGAAAGATTTCAATGAATGGGGATCGAAAAGTATCTTAAATTCAGTGTTTTCGCGAATTATCTCTTTATTTTAAATGTCTTGATACAATCTCAATGGGATTTACTCTCGGATAGAACTAGCCGAAAAGCGCGGGATCAGATATCCCGAGATCTAACGAAACGTGTGATAGTGCATGTTCCACAATGATCTTTCTCGATCGAAATTATTGTTAGCTCTAATAAGGGAACCTTGCAAAGTGTTAAATTCTGATTTGACGACACTTTTTACACATGTAGGTTACTTATATAGATAAATTTAAAAAATAACAGTTACTGTCTAAAAATGCTTTTAAGGGATGAAACTATACCCTTTATGTATAAAGCGGTTTTCACATAAAAACGCACCAAGCTATCTATCGCAAGGTAGTGTGGGAAATAATAACGTTTCGTCACGGAAAAAAATAAAACAATATTCGATCAAAATGTGTAAATGCATAGTTTTATAACAAGTGTCAAGTTCTGAATTTAATAAAACTTTACATATATGTAATAGATAACGTAAAGAGATGAATTTAGAAAATATCAGTTGCGGCGGAAAAATGGTTTTGAAATCACTTTTTTTATATTAAAGTAATTTTTCAATTTTTTTTCATTATATCTCGAAAACTATTAAAGATATTAAAAAATGTTTTATACAAAAGTTTTACGACAAAATTGTATGTATTCTTCATGTCAATAACATTTTTGAAAATTTTCGAAAGTAAATTTTTTTTAATGATTACAGTGTGTGAAAAGAGATGATTTTACTGTAAAACTTTTGTATAAAACATTTTTTGATATTTTGAATAATTTTTGAGATATAACGAAAAAAATTACTGTTTTAATTACCGTTACTAATAACCGTTTTACACATTAAGGAATTGTTTTACTCCTTAAAACTCTTCGTTTTTGGTTAGCAACTGCTATTTTCTAAATTTATTTATTTTTGTAACCTACATGTGTGAAAAGTTTCTTTAAGATCAGAATTTAGAACTTCACAAGGTTTCCTTGTAAGTAATTCCGCAAAACATCTCTTTTCGCCAATTATTAGCGAAAGTTGGATACATGTGTATATGAATATAGGTATATTTGATATCGCGATAGTTTGAGAAAGATTCATTGATAACAGAAAAGTTTTTATCCGATTTTTATGTTCACAGAGAATCTCAAACAGTAAATTGTTAATATGTTGTAAAAATTTCAATAGAATTATAACTTATTGATGAATTAGCAACATTAACATAACATTTTTATTTTATTGATTAAAACTTTTATATATGTTATTAATCTAAAGATAAGATTACTAAAAATCTTTTTACAATTAGTATAAAGAATCCAATTTATACTTATAAAATTAACTTCTATAAGACATTTTAATAAAATCAATAATAAATTTTAAAAATATGTTATTACTTAAGTTGCCATTGATAATCTTTGCATACCTGATATAACGAGATATTTCTTTTATATTTAAAACTGTATTATTAAAAAATAATATAAAATTTTATTTCGTCGACTACACATAAATATTTTGAATAATAAAATTTTTTTATATGTTATGTTAAGATGCTCTAATGGGTGTCCAGTTGGAATCAAATAAAAACCTTCTACTTCTTAAACCAATTGAGAGGTATAATATTTCTCTGATCCTAATTCTAATTATTTGCAATCGCGATGTAAATCATGTAATTATCAATATGTAGATAAATCTATTTAAGAATAAAATTTTTATATTTATATTTCTAATAAATTATTGTACCAAGAAAACTTTTGTAAAATTTATCAATACATTTAAAGTTAAATTGTTGTTATAAATAAATAATAATAATAAATTACAGTTTGACATAGAAACAGTATCTTTAATCAATTTGTTTGTACATTTAAAATTAAAAAACTGTATAAATAAATAAATTAATACATTATAACGAAAACATCTTTTTTACAATTAATTCTATTTAAAAATTTTAATAAAAACTTTTATAATCATATCTTAACGCGAATCTCTTCTTGTGTGAAATTTTCTTCACAGCATGCATCCATGTAGATATCAAAAAATGTTCTATTTATATCATAGAACGAAATTATATATGTAATTTATTCAAAAAATTAATTATATAATAACTTATTATGTATAGAAATTTCAATTCTAAATAAATTGTGTTTTAGGGGGAAAAAAATTCTTTTACATAGATTAAGAAATATACATCTTTATTTTTTTGATACTGTGTTTAATCTCTCTGCTATGGGACGCGAACAAAAAAAGCTGCTAAATGTGTTCCATTCTATTGTAGATGAGGTATGTTTATTTAATATTTTGTATTATATTATATAACGTTTACTTATATAATTTATTATTATACAGATGATACAGAAAAGCAAAGATAAATTAATACAACTGGATACAACTAAGGACGAAGAGAAGCAAACTCGTAAGTTTATCAACATTTTATATAAGAATCGATCTTTATGAAAACGCAAAATGGCAACAAAATAAATTATTATAGCCATATTCATAAAAATATTAGGTGATTTCTACTAAGTCGATAAGTTTGTTCTCTTTATGTTTCTCATTGAATGCTAAAAAAAGGATGGAATGATGTTTATGTCGACTTGTATCACTAATTGGAAAACACTCACATTAAAATACTGCATACGATTTACTTCTAAGAAACAGTATTCTAAACAGTTTTTTCCTATATTTATTTCTAATTTTTATATAAAAAATATACAGTTTAAATTTAAATTAAAATTTGCCTACACGATATTATATAATTAATTTTTTGAATAAATTACATATATAATTTCGTTCTGTGATACAGATAAAACATTTTTTGATATCTACATGGATGCAAGCTGTAAAGAAAATTTCACACAAGAGGAGATTCGCGATAACATATCAACATTATTAATGACGGTACGTGCAATGAATATAAATATAATCATAATAATAAGTAAATGTTAAAATAAATTTGTATGTACGTAGGGCAGTGACACAATCACTGTTACGTGTACTTTCGTTGTCTTCATGTTGGCAAATTTTCCAGAAATACAAGTATGTATAACTTATTCCAAGACAACTGAATTTACTAGTTAAATAAATGAAGCGTACCGTTGCGTGATATAATCGAAAAATGTGAAAGATATATTTTATATTGTTAGCCAAAAGATGTGTTTTCTAATTTAAAATAGATCATTTATGTTGTGAAAATTGTAAACATTGCTTTGTTTTTATCCAAACATTATATTAATATAAATTTATTGCTAACATATTTTACTTTTGGTTTATATAAATATTTTCCAAAATATCTCAACTTGTAATATGTTGATTAATATTAAACTATGTATGTACATCGCATATTCCTTAAATGCATGTCACAATAGGTATATATAGGTGTGCAACATTATAGCAGCATTTATTTAAGATAAAAGTTTCATGATCAGAATTACCCAAGTAACTAAATTAACATATTATTATCAATACCTTGACTAAAATAAGGAAATATTACAATCGCAATTGATAAAATCTTTGTAGTATATTATTTTGCATATATATATATATATATATATACATATATATCTGTCTCTTATACA